ATAATTGTTTGTTACTATGTTGGAGAAGTTAAAGATAATAACATCAAGGAGTTGTCATCAAGAAAGAGATTCTCATAAACGAGCTAGGGACGAGAGACGCAACATGGTACAATCTAAGGAGGGACTTAAGGTGGAGCTCAAGAAAATGCAGAAGATGAAGGAATTCAAACCTAACATGGTATGATCTCTAAATCTACCTGGGTTTTCAATTTGGATAAATCATGTGTGATTGACCACTTGCTTTTGGCTTAATAGTTGATTACATTAGTATCTATGGTTTTAGAAGTTTAGTCTTAGGAAAAAAAAAATGGATTCAATTTTGGTTTTCCATATGTGAATGAGATATTATTTGAGCGGGTTGGTGTCAAATACTTTGACGGTTATTGTATATTTTTTTTTTGTATTTCGCATATATATATACTCTATACCATACGATTATAGTTGGTTTATGGTTATTGATTTGAGAATGTATGTTTCAAAGACTTTTTTCTTATCATTTTTAAAATGTTTGTTTTAATTTGCATGGTACACAAACCTTTTTATCTTTTTTTTTGTGCATTCACATTTTTTCTTTTCTTGTGTATTCATTTTTTCTCGCAACTTAACTTATTGAAATTTGAAACTAATTGTTATATCTTTCATCTGTTCTTTTTAGAGAAATTAGAGTATAAATGATTTATTGACTCTATATTTAAATACCTAACATCACATAAAATGAAATATAAAAACTAAGATTCTAGTTATGTGAGATTTTGATTTTATCCATAATGTATTTATGGTAAATGGTCTCATATCTCATTTTTATCATTTTTTCCTTTAGTATATTCTTTCTCCAATATCATTTTCTTTGTCTCATGTCCAAAAAATAATTAAAGATAAACTTTTTCTTTTTCATCATATGGTAAGTGGTCTCATATCTTCTCATTATATGTTCGTCGTATAGGTTTCTTTTTTCATCTTAATTTTGTGGATGCACATACAAAAAAAAATACAAAACTGAAAAAAATCCTCGTATACGCACGGATAATCACTCGTATAAATAAAATTTAAGATTTATGAAAAAAAATGCAAACTATGATTTTTTAAAATTGTTTTACATCTTCAAATAATTAGAAACAAAAAGATAAAGTTCAAACCTAAAGTTACTCGTACTCAAAACTCTCCCTCCTCGTTTACCGCGCAAGCAATCTTGAAAATGCACCAGATGATATGCAAGACACTCCTGACAACCTTTTTTACCTACATCTCTCGTACACTGCATCATTACTTATATCTTATACGTCCCCAAAACTCCTCTCCCCCGCCCCGTACAGCGATGTCGGGTTGCTGTATTCTTTTTTTTTTATGGCTATTCTTGTCACATTATCAAGGAGAATCGACCAGTTCATCTCAAAACGAATACTTATCACCGCTCACATTTTTCGGGTTAGACATACATAAATTATTGTCGTAATCGTTCTGATACACAGTATCGATCCCAGAATACTCGAGAAGACATTGGTCATACCATATTATTCCCCCCTTGTATTTTGGATATCTCCTACGAAGCTGTAGTATGGATTTTTCACATCGATACCACAATTAATAACCACATTGTGCATAGTAATTCATATATAATTAATAGCTTTTTGTCTATTATTTATATATATTGATAAATTGTAACCAAAACTAGCATCTATTGAAGTGACTTTTTTTTTGTGTGAGCGGATTTTGTACATGTAAAATATGTGACATTTAATCAAAAATAATGAAGTGAAGTTACCTCAGAGAGAGCAGTGGCATAGCATGAGCGACATTTGAGCCCGTTGGAGTCGCCGCGGCACTGGAGGATGACCGAGACGAAATAACCTTCCCCACTAAGGGAAATTATGTCGTAACCTTCGCTAAAATCACTGGTCGAAGGGATGTTATGAGTGATAGCACTTTCTCGTACACACTTCCCGGTTTGTATTTCCCTTGAGTGACGTAGCATTTGTGGCCCAAGTACGCATTAGTCATGTTCAAGCACGAAACGCTACGTGTAAAGAGAAATTGTATGGCCACAACGGCCAAGTTAGGGGGTAAGGTGAGGCGCTTTGATACAGTCAATGAAGAGCACATTGTTTCAGAATTGTTTGTTATGTTTTCCCAAGGTGGATGTGGTGTTTATATAGGAGAGACTAATTGGATTTTGCTATTGAGTAGAGTTGATTTTTGCATCTTTTATTTTTATAAGTTAAAGTTTTCATATTTTTTTATTTTATAGAAAATTCGATTAATCAACTTAGTTTCTCGCCTGAAACAAAAAAAAAATTTCATCTTCAAACGGAGTTGAAGGCTGAGACTTGGTATTTGCGGCGAAAAAAGTTCAAAGGTGTGACTGAGTTCAATTTCTGAATTACAATCACAAGATGTCAAACCTGAAATGAAGAAAATGTAAATTTTTATAATTACATTGGTCTACCACAACTATTTTTATACTACAAGTACTTTTTTTAGGTATAGTACTAGATTAAATTTTCTAGATGAATTTATATAGAATCATCTAATGTTCAAAAACGTGTTTCCGCAACCGTTCATAATCGTGACGATTTTATAATCGGACAAATAACTCGTAACAGTTAAGAATTTTTTTTTAGATTAGAATAAGTTTGTATATGATATATCTATAGATTTTAGAGTAAATTGGTGTAAATGACACTTTATGTGAATGGGGTTGTGGTTTTGGCATATTGTCAAAAATGGTGTCATTTTGACACTTTCTCACACTGTTCACCCTTCTTCTACCCCCATAAAATCAGATAATCACGGTTATGCCACTGATCTTTCTTCCCTATCCCTTGTACACGGTACACACATTCTCTCTCCATA